CTGGGCTCCAGCGATCCTTCCGCCTCAGCCTTCCAAGTAGCTGGAACTATAAGTGTGTGCTACCACACCTGGCTAATTTTTTTTTTTAAATTGTAGAGATGCGGTCTCACCAAGTTGCCCAGGCAGGTCTCGAACCCGCGGGCTCAGGCAATCCACTCACCTCAGCCTCCTAAGGCGCAGGATTACAGGTTGAGCCACCGAGCCCAGCTGAAGGCCATCTTAGCTTGTGAAGGGGAACACTGGTGTGACACCTTAGAAATTTTCTGCTCGGCACGTGGAGGCTGAGTGACACTGCACTCCAGCCTGGGTGACAGAGTAAGACTCTGACTCAAAAAAAAAAAATTATTCTGCTCTTCCTGAAGATTGTTGGTTACCTCTACCACATCCATGGATATAGAATAAGAATTTTCCTGTGGTCACACGTCCTGGTCTGTCTGCACTCACGCCCTCCTATGATCTCACTGCAAGGCTTGCTCCAGCCCAGCTGTGGCAGGGAGGCTGGAGGAGGGGGACAAGGACAAAGCAGTCATTGTCATCCGCACCAACTAGATCCAGCTCTGGGGTGAGCCTAGGTGCCACACCAAAGGCAGCTCCAAAGGTTCCCTACCTAGGCCTCTCAATGTTTTGGGTTCCTGGGCTTGCAGTGGGGGTGGGCAAAGATATCAGAGGGCTTTTCCAGCTCTGGAATTTGATTGTGTGTGATGGGTAGGGGTAGTCTATCTATCACACCTTAAGAACTTTTATTCTTGTTCATTTCAGAAGATAATTCCAATTGAATCTAGAATATTCTAGTCCACCCTATTCTTCAGATAAAAACAAAAAGAGCAGGCTCTTCCCAGAGTCTCCTAAGTGGTGAACCATGGTCATGGTGAAGGACACCGAAGTTAGTGGCATAGACTCTGGGGTCAGATGACCAGAGACAAATTTCCTAATCTCTCTAGGTCATAGGTTTCCTATCTACAAAATGGAGATGATTATGGTTCTTATCTCACAGGCCTATAGAAGAGTCCCAGAGTGCTTCCCCACTACCATTATCCAGAAAATAAGTCATTCCTCTACAGTTCACCACGGCCCTGAGTTCTGTACCCCCTTTGAAGGTACCAAAGTGGAACTCAAAAACTCTAAGAATGAGAACCAAGATCAAAGGAAAAGAATGACCCTGCTATCTCAGTCTCCTTTTTCCTCCTCCTACTACCCCCACTCACTGGCTAGGAGGAGGGGCGGCCATTAGGGGGAGGAATCCAAAGCTCTGGGTTGGCTTTCTAACCTCTATGTAGGAACAATCTTCAAGATAACAGGGTTGGGGAGAGGGGAAACAGTGCAAGATACTTTGGCATGACATAAACACCATTCTCATTAGCAACCAAGAGTACAGGGTTCTCCTGCAGGGCTCAAGCCAAAGTGGTCCATGTGGCCACTATTAAAGGAGCCATCAAGAATCAATCACCTTCAGTCTCCTGAAACACAGGCATGGTGAGACCTACCAGCAGGACACTGCATCGGTACATACATGGTTTGTAGGATGGCTTGGTACCAGGAAGGTGATGCTGAGCTTTCTGTCCTTCTGCAGGATACCATTAATCAGAACCCTTTGGACTGGGGGGTCCCAAAGGGCAAAGGCCAGATTTCCTCCAGTCTTGGTATTTTTCTGAGTACCTAGGACACAGGTCAGCACTCAGCAGGAATTTGATATATGCTGTTGATTACCTTAGATAAACCCAGCACCTTTAAAAAGTTTGTGTGCCATATTATGCTTTTAAAAGTTTTACCAGGCACGGTGGCTCAGGCCTGTAATCCCAGCAATTTGGGAGGTGGAGGCGAGAGGACTGCCTGAGCTCAGGGGTTCAAGATCAGCCTGGGGAACTTGGTGAGACTTCGTCTCTACAATAAGTAAAGAAATTAGCCAGGCATGGTGGTGCATGCCTATAGTTCCAGCTACTTGGAAGGCTGAGGTGAAAGGATCACTTGAGTCCAGCAGGTCAAGGCTGTGGTGGCCATGAGCGTGCCACTGCACTCCAGCATGGGTGACAGAGTGAGACTGCAACTCAAAACAAAACAAAAACAAAAAAACTTTTACCAACCAGCCTAAACAACACTGCAAGACCTTGTCTCTACAAAAAATGAGAAAATTGCCAGGTGTGGTGGTATGTTCTTGTAGTCTCAGTTACTCAGGAAGCTGAGGTGGGAGGATTGCCCAAGCCCAGGAAGCTGAGGCTGCAGTGAGCCTTGATTGTACCACTGCACTCAAGCCTGGGCGACAGAATGAGACCCCAACTCGAAACAAACAAACTTTTACCTAGAAACAAAACTCTCTCTCCAACCTAGAGGTTCTTTGTAAGTCCTAACTCAAAACAAACTAAAATAGAATGTCCTGGCTCTTAGCTTCCAGGTCCTGCCAACTCTTAACCTTCACTCTACCCAACAGCCTCATAAAGAGCCCTCTTTGCCCATGGCAGGTTCAAGACAGGTGAGGAACACAGAGGAGAGTCAATTCTGTCCAGACTGTTTTGCCCACATTTATGGTACATAATTAGCACTTTTAGGACTTGTTATGCCAACTTCCCAAATCATGCATCATACAGCAAGTGCTCACCCCCACTCCCCAAAGAGATTATGCCAAGGTTATGGGAAGATAAACAGCACAAAATACCTTTAAGAGCCTTCCCATTTAATTTGAGACCCTCTTGGCAGTCAAACAAATTCCTGCCCAGCAGGGAGATGGAGGAGAGACTTGAAACTGAGCTTTCTGCGATGGGTATCCTTGAAACTCCAAGTAAAGGGGGAAAAAGGCACAAAGAGGAGACCCATCTAAATGTCCCCTATGAAGCTGGGCTCAGCAGGAATGCTCAGGAGGGATGACAAGCAACAACTCTGTTCTATCTCTTCTCTCCCGAGCCCAAGCGCTGGAACCAATTCTGTTTCCATTGAGAAATAATGCCCTGACTACCTCCCCAGGGCTACTCGACTTCCTTGAAGCTTCAGTAGAAAGTAACTAGACCAAGAAGAAACCGAGGACATGATCCAAAGGGACACAGTATTCTAGGAAGCAGCAGTTGCTTCTAACAGGAAGGTGGAGAGGAAGTTCCAAGAGTCACAGTTTCCCAGGAGGCAAAGGTGGTCCTGGGCTCAGAGTCAAGAACAGCCCTATTCAGGTCTTACCTGCACGATGTCCAGCACCATGCCGGCAGCCACAGTCCCAAAGCCTGCCAGGAGGAAGGGAAATAGCACTTGCAGCCCGATGGAAAAGGAGGTTTCCTTGAGTGGGGAGGGTGGTGCGGGGCCACGGTCCGTGCTGACGTCGTCACTTTCGTTGCTCTGGCTCCCGTTCTCCAGCAGGGCGTCCTCCTCCCGAACCCCCTTGGCGTTGGCCCGAGACTCACTCACCACCTCTACTCCAGCCCCATCAGGCCCCAGGAACTCTGAGGTCCCGGGCAAGGGCTCTCGCCCGGGGCCATCTGAAGAGCAGGGAGAGGCAGTAGGGCCAGTCCCATTCAGCTGGTGGACGTCCTTCGGCTCTGGCTTAGAGGACATGACAGGCAGGGAGGAGGGGAAGGGAGAACTTTCCTCTCTTCTTTTCGCTTTCTCTCTCCCTCTCAAACTTGGGAAGAACTTAGTCTCGGGGTGAACCCAGGCTTGGGTGCCGCGGGACCTCTTCCCACGGCTCTCGGCTCCTACCAGGCACTGCAAAAACTGATCCACCAACAGGCAGCCCCATCAAGCACTGAAGCTGCAAGCTGGAGGGAAACAAGAAACTCCTCACCAGACGCAGCAGCCAGCCACTAGGGGTGCAGACGCCTGACTCCCAGTGACCAGCTCTGTGCTTGAGGAAAATGTGTCTGGCCTCTTATCTTCTTTGGTTCTCAGCGGCAGGCTCCTCAGACCAGGGGGCATCCAGAGTGGAAGGGCCCAAAAAAGTCTGTGGTGCCCTCTGAAGTGGACCCTCTTCTGTGAAAAGCAGCTTGAGTTCAAATCTTTCAGAAAACAGCCACAGCCTGGGGTTGTGGCTCCTTCCCGCTTCTTTGGCTGGGCTCCTTCAGGTTCCTACAGCTCCTCAGGCTCGACTGGTCCCAGAACAGCGTCAGCTGCCTTTCCCCTCTGTTCCAGAGATTTCCTCCCTTCCTGAGAAGACCTTGTACCTCCCCAAACTCCTGGTCCTTAAAGTTACGAGAATCTGTGTGGAACACCTTATGTGGGAAGGAGAAAAAAAAGAAAAAGAATGTTATGCGACAGCAAAGGACAGCTCATACTGGGAGCATTTCCCCCCAAGGAAGTTATGAGTTTGTTGTAGAGTTACAGAGTTTGTTACTGGTGTCCCTTTTCCCACTGAAATTATTCAATCCTGCACTACTATATCTGGTGGCTAGCAGGCGCCATCCCTGCCATCCTCCCAACAAGCAACTCATGGCCCTGGAGGGATTACCATCATTGTCACCAGCAGTGAGATGTGACCAGCCTGAGATTGGGGAGACACTATGTAAGAGACCTTGGCATTGTTTTTTCAGCAACTAGGGGTGGGCAGGGATGTCCTGAAGGAGATGCCTTCTTGAATGCCCATTAAGAACTCAGGGTTAAGTGTGGTCTCTCAGTAGGGTCAGTTACAAATTTGGTTGCAACGTCCCTGCCACAGAATCACCTCACAGTAAAAGATGATTGCGTATCATCACAAGACTGCAACAGTAAGACAGTGCCAGGGCAAATCAACGGAGAGAATCTGATCACTGAGTGAAGGCCCCCAGACCCCGAAATGTTCTAGCTTCTGGAACAAAACAAAACAAAACAAAACTAGGAGGACTCCCTGGGCAGTGGGGCAAGCCTGCCAGACCAAGGCCAAGAGCCAGAGGCCTACCCACTCCTGCCCTTGAGAGTCAACAGTGTTACAAAAAGCTCAGAGCTGACTCTGATCCAGGTCTCTGTCTCTACTCCTTTTCCCCTGTTCTCCACCTTGTGAACTTGTCAGATAGGACAAGGAATTATCTCAGTTGGAGGGGACAGAAGATGAAACTACTGGTTATTACCACATGTGTCAGTTCCCTAGGCTCCTCCTGTTCCCCAGGGTTACTGACAGTTGGATATAGTGGAATTCTTAAAAACAAAAAACCAAAAACCAAAAAAAAAGCAATTAACCCCCCACACACACCACAAAGCAAAACAAAAACCTAAGCACCATAGCCAATATGCACTTGCTTCAAATGTGTCTCTTTAGCTGGAATGGCTCCCTTTTGGCTAAAAGAATCCCTAGGCTTCCTAATTTCTCATAGAATCCCACCCTATTCCAGTTCATCAGAAGAGCTCTTACAAGTAAAAAATAAATTTAAACAGAATTTCCCCAGGTAAGAGGAACAGGTCCTTAAGTATTCTAAACACACACAATTAGTCAACTCCAGTTTGGGAAAGGCTGGCTCAAACCCCAGTGACTGATTCATGGGAATTGTTTCCTCGTTGTTCTCCTAACTCAGTCACCCACCAGGACTCCCTTTTCCAATCTCTTAAACATAGTCCTGTGGTTCTTTCAAAGTCCATCACCAGAGATTCAGAAGAAAACCTCTGAGTCCATAGCCCCTATGCCAGAAAAGTTTCTGAGTCCGCTAAAAGCTGACACCCCCGCCTCCATCCTGTCTTTCTGGCAGGCCACTTAACCTGAAAGGGGGCTCGCAGGAAGGGACGCCAGTCCGTCACCCACCCCCCCAGCAGACTTCAGACAGGCCTAAGGCCCTGGGACCAAAGAAGCAAAAGTGAACTAGGGCTCTCCATCCCCTCCTCCCAGGCAAGGACAAACAACAACAACAACAACAACAACAACAAAAAACCACCCCGTTTTAGTATCCCCTACCCCAAGGAGGGGGAAAAGTAACTGGGTGGCCTTTCCCCCCTCCCTGCTCCCCACGACTCGGACTCAGCAAATGCGCTGCGCGCCAGGGCTCCCGCCCTCTGCCACCCCCCCTCCGACCCCACAGCACTGACCTGCCCCTCGCTTGGGAGGAACGGGGGCGCCTGGAGAGTGGCAGCAGGGGCCCGTGGTCTCGGGGGGTGCAGGGTACCCCCTCTTCTCATCACTCCTCCTCCGCAGTCCTCCTCGGCCCCTTGCGTACCCCCCCCACACCCCCAGCCAAGGCGAGCGTACAGCCGCGACCCCCGGCCCGCTACATTTCGCTTCTGCGTTACAGCGAGGCCGCCGCACCGTTTCCACGAGGGGGAGGTGGCCGGGGAGGGCAGGATATACCGCCTCGGGCCGGGTGGGGGGGGCCCGGACGGAGGCCTGGGGGGCCGAGCTCACTCGCCCCCAATCGCTTCTTGCCGGCGGACTTGGGCCCGACTGGTTGGCCGCTGGTGGCAAACGTGATCTGGGGCAGACTGGGTGGCACCCCCCCATCAAAAAATAGATTCTCAGATGGACAACGGCCATAACCAATCGGGAACTGGGGAGGGGGCGGGCTCAGCCCCAGCCCCGCCCCTTTCCTTCGTTCCGTGCCCTGGAGGCGGGGCACCGGGGAAACGCGGTGCGAGGAGTGCCGGGAACTGAGAGCCGGCTCTCCACGCCGCAGCGAGTGGGTCCCAGCGCTCGACAGTCGGTGGTTCCCGGGCTCCTGCTTCCCCGCGCGCACTGCGCAGTGCTACCGCGCTCGGGCCCGCCACCCTGCGCCGGAGCCCCTGTCGCCTTTGGGAGGCCTGTGCGCCAGTGCACGTCTGCTCCTGGCTCTTAGTGTTTCCTTGGAGCCTCCCTTTGAGAAGACCGGCCAATGTCCTCGTGGGGACAGCCAGCCAGCTCTGACCCCGCCGCTCCAGCAGCCATGCGTTCCTGCGTCCCGTACCGGGCAAAACTGTCCTTACCTTGTTCTCGGATACGGCTCTTCTCCCGCTGGCTGGTTACTTCCCACGCGCTTCCCCCAGACTCTTGAGCAAATGACTCAGCCCTGCCGGATCCGGCCTTGATAAAGGCCCAGCCTTGAAAGGGGTGGGGATGGACAGGCCAGAGGGAAAGGAGGTCAGACTCATGGCCTGGGTCCCACACGCATCACATGAGGTCGGGATGGAGGGGACCTCGCTTCCCTTGACCCACAGAGCCCGGTGGCAGCATGGGGAGAGATGTCTCCCTCCCAGGCCAAACGAAATCCAACTTTCCCTGACGCACCTTGTGGGATCAAAGAGGGGTGTTCCCATGCTCTCCTTTTGCCATTTCCTCCCTGGGGTATCCTCACCTCTCTAACGCAAACTGAATACCAGTTCTCTGGGATGTTTTTGTGCAGGGGGTGTGACCTCCCCCATAAAAGAAACCCCCACCCCTATGTTTTCCCCTCTTGTCAGTGGAACGTGTGACCAGTGGTTCCTTCCTGCTGGAAAGTGGCTCAGGGGGCATTCGAGCAGGACTCTACACCCCTGAATGAGCAAAAATATTCCTGGGGAGAGGACAACAGGGGACTTGGTATGACACTTTCAGCAGACGCACACAAGAGCGCATACAAAGCAACCTGAGCAGGTCATTCCTTTGGATAAGGGTAACGTACATACACACAACCCCAATACTCCCCAAATCCAGTACCACTAGGATTATTCCAGCTCAGCTGCTGGGGCATTCGCATCAAGACTCACAGGACCTACTAGAGCAAATCTCAGTGTCTCAGACCCCAATTTGGGCTTCAAATACTTTTCTCTGCCTGAAGAAGTAGTTACTAGATTGGGAAACATTGGGCCTTGTCCAGAAAGATCAGGTTTGTGAATTGGTGGTGTAGAGCTGGGTGGGGAATTAAGGCTGATATGTCTGGAAGCATGTCAGTGAGGGGCTAGAGACAACTGTCCTGCTTTATTCAACAGTTCTCTCCCCTCCATCACCCCATTTAATCTTGCCACAGCTCAGTTACCTATGTATGAAGTCTTGATCTTTCTTCTATTCTCTTTCCCCCTTCCATTTTTTCCTCACCTGAAAATGGTTCCCCTCTCCTGTGGGTATTTTTTAAATTGAAGTATACTAGATATTTGGAAAAGTGCACAAAACCTAAGTGTAGGTCAACAGATTATGACACAGTGAGGGTAACCATAATAACCACCATCCGAATCAAGAATGAGAGATCATTATCGGCACCCCAGAAGCCCTCCTGCTATCCTCTTTTGGTTACTATCCCTACTCTCCATCCCAGAGGTAACCTCTATCTAATAGTATAGGTAAGTTTTGCCTACTTTATGTAAATGGAACCATTCAGGAGGTATTATTTTGTGTCTGGCTTCTCCCACTCAGTATCTTTGTGAAGCTCACCCATAACATTGTGGTAGCAGTAGTTCGTTTGTTTTCATTGCTGTTTATGGTATGCCATCAAATGAATATATCACAATTTATCTGTTATTCAGTTGATGGACATTTGAGTTGTTCCCATTATGGGGTTATGGATGTGGCTATTACAACATTTTTGCTTATGTCCTTTGGCACCCTTTTGTTCATGTTTATATTAGATATATAACTAGGAATGGAATTACTAGGTCATAGAGTAGGGATTTTTTAGCTTTAGTAAATGCTACCTAAAAATTTCCCAACGTGCTGATTTAAAAAAAATTATTATTATTTTTATTTTTAAAAAAATCAATATTTTTTATTATGGTTTTGTGGGGTACAGTTAAGGGTTAGGTGTACAATTATGTTTCATTCAGGCGCCCTGTGATTTTTTTTTTTTTTTTTTTTGAGTTGGAGTCTCACTCTGTCTCCCAGACTGGAGTGCAGTGGCCATTCCCGGTCACTGCAGCCTCGCCTGCTGGGCTCCAGCAATCCTTCCGCCTCAGCCTTCCAAGTAGCCGGAATTACAGGCATGCGCTACCACGCTCGGCTGATTTTTTGATTTATTGTAGAGATGAGGTCTCGCTGCCCAGGCGGGTCTCAAACCCGCGGGCTCAGGCAATCCACTCACCTCAGCCTCCCAAAGGCGCAGGATTACAGGCTGAGCCACCGAGCCCGGCAGATTTTTTTTTTTTAAAGATGAGGTCTTGCCACATTGCCCAGGTTGGTCTTGAACCCACGGGTTCAAGCAATCCTCTCACCTCTGCTTCCCAAAATGCTGGAATTACAGGCATGTACCACCACGCCAGCTAAACGTGCTGATATTAATTTACACTCCTGCTAGTAGTGTCTTAGCATTCCAGTTGCTTTATATTCTCAATATAACTTATTGTCAATCTAAAAAGATAAAACGTTTTAGCCATTCTGGTGGGTGGTATTCTGGTGGGTGTAGTGGCATTGTAGTTTAAATTTGCTTTGCTCTGCTAACCAATAGGGTTGACCACCTTTCTATATATTTATTTGTCATTTGGGTATCTAAGTATTGTGTGCATTTTCTATTAGGCTTTCTATCTTATTGCTTTGTAGGAGTTCTTCATGTATTTTAGATATGAGTCCTTTGTTAGTTATAGGTATTGCAAATATTTACATGAGTACATAAGTACAGAAGACCTTGGTTTTGGGGTCTTCTGGAGTGTCAGGGTCACTGGGACGAGAATATAATCTCTGTATCTATTTTGATTACTAGTGTGTTCCTGGCTCAATAAATATGTTGAATGAATGATGGATGAAATGGCTGATACTGATCTAGGTAGTTTTTCCTATACTGTGCTGATCCTTAGAGTAAAACATGAAGAGGACTGGGGGAAGCAGATTTCCTTCCAGCCCAGCCAGTTGTGACCTTGGGAAGGGGAAGACATCCTAGCCCTTCTCCTCTGAAATAGCTACAGTCTGTGAAACGAGAAGCGCAGATGTAGGGAGCAGAGGTCACAGATGAAAAGACAGGAACTAGCAGCAGGTAGCAAGCCAGCCAGATACTTCAGAAGGAGAGACTCAGTTGGGGGTGTCCAGAAGACAGTGAGTGTCTCTGAACATCATTGTGGACCTTTGTGCATCAAGAACGTCCAAAGGTCGCTGGGCCTTCTTCCTGCCTCTACACATGCCCATGCTTAAAGCCTGTTAGCTGAGAGAGCTCTTCTACACTTAGAAACGTATTTCTCTCTCCACAAAATGTCCCCTGAAACTTTGGTTCCAGGATCTTGTTCCTGTCCCCGAATGGGGATCACTTTTTGTCAGATCTGGCTTAAACTTCCTCATGGCCTGTAATGTCCCTCCTGAATTGGGAAGACCATTAAGTTACTACCAGTCCTTCCTCTATGAGGTCTTTTCACAGGCCTGTTGCATTCTACAGCATTTTTCTCTTGCTGGGTTTCTCTCCAGTATTCTTTCCTTCTCCTCCATCAGCTATGTACCATATGGAGCCTCCGATTAATTCCTATTACTATAGGAGAGAAAGATTTCCCCCTTGCAATACCTTAACACATTCACAGAATCTCCTCCTCAGATCCTCTAGAAGACAATGTGATATTTACCCAGAGGCTAGTAGTAGCTCCCAAAATTTCTATATAGAAGGGGCAGCAGCCTAAGTTGGAGAGAGACTGGTTGACTTATCATGAAATGGTATTTGTATAGCAAGCACAGTTTTCACTTAGAATATGTTTTATGGAGGGGAGGGGGAAAGAGGGTTGTTAGGAAAGGAGAGTTGTTGATCACTACCAGAGGCCTGTGGAGAACCCTATGAGGGAAGAGCCTCTTGGCACTTGTCCTAATATATGGTTCATGTAGCCTCCATCCTGAGGTCCTATGAGCCCCATGCCTTTCTTCAGGAACAGCTCCAGTCTACCAGTGGCTTTTCCATGAACTACCTGGATACTCCTCTTGAAACCTCATGAAATTCCAGAGCCCTGTAGATCCTGGACCCCATAACTAGCGTGGCATAGTCATAAGACTAGCCTGCCATGGCTGGAAACTTTTCTGTCTTTTGTTCTGCTGGGGGAGGGTGCCCCCTCCCATTTTTCCCCTTGCTATAACCCCTCCCCTGCTATCTTCCTCCCAGAGGTCAGCTTCTTTCCTGCTGCCCAGAGCTGAGGTGACATCCCCTTCCGGCTCCATTCAGTTCTAGGAGGATGTAGTGATGGGGGTGGGATAGAGAAGTGTGGCCATCTGTGCTCAGAGCTGTCACCATCCCTTTTGCTTCTCTACAACTAAGTTCCCCTTTCCCAAACCCCCTGGATACCCACTCTGGGATTCCACTAGGGGGATGGTTCTAGGTATTTTGGAAATGTAGTTCTGAAATTACTGAGTACAGCTGGGACACCTGAATAGCAAACAAAATAATCTGGTAAGCCCTAACTGGGGATAGGGAAGTAATCTTTGAGAGACAGTGCTGCAGAGTAGAATGTGCCACAGCTTTGTAATCCCAGGGATTTGATTCATGCTCAGTCATACATTACTATGCTCAGAAACATAGCTCCCTTTCTGAGAGATAGGTTCTGCAATGAGCAGGTCTATGCAAACCTGCCCCCAAGT